GGCTGAAGCATGAATTGGTTTGGGAAATATTGGTATTGTGGGCTGGAACGAAGGTTATGGCTGCTGGAGAATAAGTAACTAAAGAAAAGAATTTTGGGCTGCTAAAAAATGATGAAAATAGCCCAAATAATTGATTCTCCTGATGGGTTAAACAAGGAGAACTTTCGGAAATAGTCACTATAATAAACTTAATTATGCCACATAGCTATAGTTTGCATATTTACGGGCTGTAGCTACAGTAAGCTGTCTCGTTTGTATTATTTGCGAGTTTGTATAATTAGCAGATTTGTATAATTCGCGGGTATATTTGTATAATTCAGTTATTTTTGTATAAAATTGAAATAACGAATTTATACAATTACAAACATCTGCAGTGTAAACAATTATACAAATTATATTATACAAAAATTACATTATATAAAAGCTATACAAATTATGAATTATACAACTGTGCGAATTATACAAAACTAAAAAGCTGAGCCGCATAATTATAGCTAAAAGTAGGTCGCGAATTGTAATTAAGGTAAACTATAACTATGTTAAGTAATTAACTACTATATCTTTGTTTATACATATAATTTTCCCGTTAAACAATAGGGTGGGAAAATGGCTACAATTGTAATTACAAATAATTAAAATTGTAACCAACTCAAGTTAAAAATGTAGCCGAATTGAAACCAATTGGCAAATTCGACCAAAATCTAAATAAGACGAATTTATAGAAATTAACTAATGAGCTTCTTAATCTTAACGAAATAAAATAATTGATTCGATTATAAAATGATTAATTTAATTGCAAACTAATTAACTCGAAATTATAACTATAATTTGAACCAAACTAAATTAACAAAATATTTTGACTAAAAGTGTAAAATCTTTTTAAATGGTTTTCGAATATTTGCAAAGTATTAATTACATAGGGAAGTCATATAAAACTATTTATTATCTAAAATATTATATAGATGAGTAAATTACTCTAAAATCTTTTTAAAAATTGAAATTTATTAATTAATTATTCAAAATCGTTTGGAATCTAAGAAGCTCGAGAATTAATTTCTATGGGAAGGGGCGAAATTGGGTGTCAACAACTGTCCCTCGTTTTACTTGGATTGATGCAAGAAATTCGAGGAAAATGAAATTGACTAATCCAATTTTGACCGACCACGTCTTCATCTTTTCTGAAAAAGGGATTTTGGTATGGATTTTAGAAATTATGGCTGAACCCCGAAAATGGTTTTCCTACATATCTCAGGCTATATGAGAATTCAGACCACTTGTAGTTCGATAAGCTTGATTTGACGCACTACTTTGAAAGAATTCAAAAGCCATTCCGATACCGAATTATGAAAGGACTGAAATGCTCGAGGATAAGATTTAAGAGCGAATGTTGGAATACATCCGAGTTTTCAACACTGATCCCGCCTACATATCCCTCAACTAGGGGTGTACATGACCGGGTTGGTTCGGGTTTTTCAAATATCAAACCAAATCATTTGTATAAAAAATTTAAATTTATAAACCAAATCAAACTAATAAAACTCGGGTTTTTTTTGGATTTTTCAACCTCGGGTTGATTTCGAGTTTTTTAAATACCAAACCAAACTATTTGTGTCGAATTTTTAAATTTTTGAATCAAACCAAACTAATAAACCTCGGATTTTTTTCTTCAGGTTTTTAGATTTTTCCGGTAAAGTATTCATACAAACATATAATTAACTTGTGCTCCAAATATTTCTTTAGTCCAATCAAATAACAACTATCTAAGGTGTTTCTTAAGAAAATAACACAAAATATGATATGAGTGATGACACTAAAATATTCAATAAAAATAATAATGAAATCATATAAAATAAATATTGCAAAATTGATAAGTCATAATGAAAAATGATCATAATGTAAAAGTACTAAATCAATGCTAAAAATAAGTCTAATAAGTATTAATTACATGATTAAACATTAAAGAAAATTAAAATTGGATGTATTTTAAATGTCTAAACCAATGTAAAACTAAAGAACAAATATTCAATATTATTGTCATTCTTAGTGTTGAATTAATTTATTTTGTTAGTATTAGTATTGATTTGATTTCGAGTTGGGCTTTATTAGAGTTACTAATATCTATAGACTATAACCTTTATTACACCATTCAAAATTTTAAGTCTCAAAAAAACTTGAAACGTATGTTAAAAGATAAAAATTATGAAAACGTATAGGTAATATTTAGAAATTACATCAAAGTAAAATATACTTTTATGTATAAAATAAATTTTAAAAATTATATACATAATGTCGGGTTGGTTTGGTCTCGGATTGACTTTTTTTAGTTAAAACCAAACCAACCCAAGTATAGTCGAGTTTTTTTTTCCAATACCAAACCATTAGTCGGGTTTTTTTTTGGTTTGACTCGGTTTTCAGTTTGGTTTTGTACACCCTTACCTTCAACTTGGGGAATCAGGCTGCTTGTAGTTCGACTCGATCGGTCGAAAAGAAAATCTATTATGCAAGATAACCTTCGATTGGGAAGAGTAACAAAATAAGTCGAGTATGAAAAGGAGGCATGCAACCTCTTAACCATGGATGTGTCGCACTTCATACCCATAAGTAAGAAATTACATATACATAATTTCCAAAGCTCTTGGCGCATTGTCACACGAATTGGAAAGCTGCCTCCAGCGAAAACCAAAATTTTTCGGATGCGAAACTGAAACTGAAAAACTCAAAGAGAAACCCACATGCCTTCTGATAGGGGTGTGGTTTGAATGTGGTGGAAGTTTCTCCTCAGCTCGCGTCCTAAGGTTTTGATACTCCTCTCCGGACTATGTCCCAGTTCGCTGCTAAGAAAAAATTCCACGTTGTGCTGCATCTTTTTTTATGTTGTCCGCACTTGTGGTTTGTTTAAGAATTCATCCTCTTGGGATGCTCTCGAAAAAAACTGAGATAAAACTCATTAGCATAAAATGTAATTCAAATAGAGAGATGACGTCTTTAACCATGTGGACACTTAATTGCTCTCTTTGAACATTTGACGTCAGTTTCTTTCGGTTTGACGTAAATCAAATAAAGCTTGTATTTCATATTTGCAACGTAATTCTTCAATGTACTCTTCTTTTGCTATCGAAGTAATAAAATAGGCTGATGAAATATGTTGATAGTTCTCTTGACGTCGTTGCTGATGGTTCTCTTGATATTGTTCATGCAAATTAAAATGATGTAGCCGATGTTGATTTTCTTGCGATGCATGACTTTTTTTTTTGGGATGCATGACTTCTTTCCCTGCGATGCATGACTTCTTTTCCTGCGATGCATGAATCTTTTTCTCTGATGCATGAATCTTTTCCTGCGATGCATGACTTCTTTCCCTGCGATGCATGAATATTTTCTTGTGATGCATGAATCTTTTCCTGCGATGCATGACTTCTTTCCCTGCAATGCATGAATATTTTCTTGTGATGGATGAATTTTTTCTTGCGATGCATGACTTCTTTTCCTGCGATGCATGAATCTTTCTTGCGATCCATGACTTCTATTCTTGCGATGCATGACCTCTTTCCCTGTGATGCATGAATCTTTCTTTCTTCTTGGCACCGAACGAAGGTAATGCTTCGTTGAGAGAGGCAGATGACCTTCTGGTGGCGGTATCGTCACATTTGACAATACAATATAAATGATCCTCTGAGTAGTGCTATCATCTCATTTGACAATACGATATAAATGACTCTTCGGGTAGGAATATTATCATGTCTGATAATATGATGCAGATAACATCCTCTGGGTATCTTTAGTTGCCAGAAAACAATAATATTGCTCTCTTCGAGTTTTTCATTTCCATCTCTGAACCTAGTTGCATGTTCATTATGGACCTCGCCTTGCTGAGAATTTGAATGAAATAATGCTACTCATATTCTCAATTCTTTGATGTAAGAAGCATAATACTTTTTCTGCATCCACAGAAAAATTGTTAGTTTAAAGTGAACTGATCCGTGTAGATCTTTTCGGTTATCTGCTCCTTGTCTTTCTATCTCCGATCTCCCGCTTCTTGATAAATAAGACCAAACATTTTATGCAAAAATAATTGAAACATGAAAGAAAAGTTTTAAGGAAAATAGATTTTCAAAAAGTAATATTTGGTAAAGGTCACTGCCAAGTGCCATGTCACATCAAGCTTAATGAACGTCTTTGAAGTTGATGCCTCGAGGTTTATCTGATTACTTGCTGAGAAGTATTCAAAGGTTTTCTAAACTTCCGATGAACCCTAATGAAATTTTCGAGGCCATCTTTAAAAATTTATGTCCTAGTTAATTGTCTTGGCATATACTGAATTGTTGATGAACGAAACATGGAATTTTTTAGATCTTCTCAAAAATTATGTCCCAGTTACAATTCTCAACGTAACTTTAGTCTTGACTTGTTGGAGAGATCCTCTTCTTGAGAATTTTTGAGTCCCTCTCAAAAATTCTGTCCCAGTTTCTATAGTAAAGAAAAATAGAAATCTTACGGGAGATATGACCGAGGCCGACATAGGCTGCCTACGTATCTCACTCGTGAGAATTCAGGTTGAACATAGTTCAAGTACAAAGAAATATTAAAAGGGATAAAGAGGTGATCGAGGCCGACAAAGGCCGCCTACGTATCTCATTCTTGAGAATTGAAGTCAGACGTAGTTCATTACAGAGGGGTAAAATTCTACTCCCTCCGTTTTAAAAAGATTGGCCCGGTTTGACTTAGCACGGAATGTTAGAAAATAAAGAAGACTTTTGAATCTTCTGGTCCTAAATTAAAGTTATGTCAAATGTACTAGATTGACCTTCAATCTTGTGGCTTTAAACATGCCACGTGGAAAACTGAAATTAAAATCTTACCAAAAAAAGAAAGAGGTCATTCTTTTTAAAACAGACTAAAAAGGAAAGGAGGTCATTCTTTTTTAAATGGAGGGAGTAAACAAAACGATTACAAGCAAATAGTACGATTACAAGGAAATAACATAAATGCAAACTGAAACCTCACACATAATATCTCTTGACAGCATCTGAGTTGATCAGTTTTGGCCATTCGGTGCCATCCATCTCCGACAGGACCAAGGCATCTCCAGATAACACTTTACGAACAATGTAAGGTCCTTGCCAATTTGGTGTAAATTTCTCTTTATACTCATCCTGATGAGGGAAAATGCGTTTGAGAACCAACTGACCAATTTCAAATATTCTGGCTCGTACCCTTTTGTTGAAAGCACAAATCATTCTCTGTTGATAAAGTTGACCATGACAAACAACAACCATTCTCTTCTCATCAATCAATGTTAACTGATCAATCCGTTTGCGAACCCAATCAGTATCACTCAATTCAACTTCCTGGATGATTCTCAATGAAGGTATTTCAACTTCGGCAGGTATAACCGCTTCTGTTCCATATACTAACAAGTATGGTGTTGCTCCAATTGATGTTCTGACAGTCGTTATGTATCCCAACAAAGCATACGGCAACATATCGTGCCAACATCGGTGATTGTCAATCATTTTCCTCAAAATCTTCTTGATGTTCTTGTTGGTGGTTTCTACAGTTCCATTTATTTAGGGACGATAAGCGATTGAGTTTCGGTGAGTAATCTTGAATTGTTCACATATCTCAGTAATGATGAATTTTGGTACTCCAAACCTACATATCAAATTGTTGCGAACAAAGTCAGCTATAACTTTCTTTGTCACCGACTTATACGAAGCAGATTTCACCCACTTGGTGAAGTAGTCAATGGCAACCAAAATGAATCTGTGTCCATTAGAGGCGGCTGGCTCTATTGGACCAATGACATCTATGCCCCAAGCTACGAAAGGCCAAGGCGAACTCATAGCATTGAGTTCGTGAGGCGGTACTCGAATCAAATCTCCATGTACTTGACATTTATGATATTTTTGCACAAACTTGCAACAATCATGCTCCATAGTCATCCAAAAGTAACTGGCTCAGAGGATCTTCCTTGCCAAGTGAGTTCATTCATATGAGTACCACAAACTCCGGCATGTATCTGCTCTAGAAGCTTTGCAGCTTCATTAGCATCAACACATCTTAGAAGACCTAAATCAGAAGTCCTCCTATAAAGGATTTCCCCACTTGAAAAGAAATTGTTAGCCATACGACGTATCAATTTCTTCTGGTTGAACGTTGCATTCTGAGGATAAGTTTCGGTCTCCAAATTCTTCTTTATGTCAAAATACCAAGGCAAACCATATGGTTCCGCTTCAACATATGAACAATGAGCAGGCTGATCTTTTACCTCTATATTCAAAGGATCAATATAACTCGTATCTGGATGTTTAATCATTGAGGAAATGGTGGCGAGAACATTGGCCAACTCATTCTGAATCCTGGGAGTGTGCCTGAATTCAATCTTGCGAAATCTTTTGTACAACTTTTATATCAACTGCACATAAGGTGTGATCTTTGGGTTCTTCACAGCCCATTCTCCTTGAACCTGATTAATCAACAAATCTGAATCTCCAATTACCAGCAACTCATGAACATTCATGTCGATGGTCATCTTTAAACCAATGATGCAAGCTATTAATTCAGTCATGTTGTTTGTGCAATCGTATCGGAGTTTAGCAGTCATAGGATAGTGTTGACCGGATTCTGACACTAAGACCGTTCCGATACCTTTTCCTTGGTGGTTTGCCGCTCCATCAAAGAATACTCTCCAACCAGGGTATGTTTCAGAAAGATCTCCGCCTACAAATGTCACTTTTTTATCGAGAAAATAAGTCTTGAGTGGTTTATACTCTTCATCAACTGGATTCTCCACAAGATGGTCAGTCAAGGCTGGTGCTTTTATCGCCTTCTGAGTCACAAACACAATATCAAACTCACTCAAAAGCATTTGCCATTAAGCTAACTTCCCGATCGGAATTGCCTTCTGAAAAATATACTTCAATGGATCCATCCTAGAAATGAGGTATGCAGTATACGAAGACAGATAATGCCTCAACTTTTGAGCGATCCAGGTCAAAGCACAATAGGGTTTCTCCAAAAGAGTGTAACGGGCCTCATATGAAGTGAATTTTTTGTTCAGGTAATAGATGGCTCGATCCTTTTTCCCAGTTTCATCATGTTGACTAAAAACGCATCCAAATGTGTTATCCGAGACAGACAAATACAGTAACAATGGACTTCCTTCTTGTGGAGGAACCAACACCGGTGGATTGGACAAATAATTCTAGATGGCATCAAAAATAGTTTGACATTCTCCAGTCCACTTGGTCAGGGCATCTTTTTTCAACAACTTAAAGATGGGATTACACACCACGATGGATTGAGCTATGAACCGACTAATGTAGTTCAACCTTCCCAAGAAACTCATCACTTCTTTCGTGGTCTTCGGTGGAGGTAAGTCTTGAATCACTTTGATCTTGGAAGGTTCAAGCTCAATGCCCCTCCTACTGACTATAAATCCCAACAACTTGCCAGTTGACACCCCAAAAGCACATTTAATGGGATTTAGCTTCAAATTGTACCGACGTAGGCGATCAAATAATTTCTTCAAGTGAGTCAAACTCTCACGGGACTTGATAATGACATCATCTACATACACCTCGATATCCTTATGAATCATATCATGAAAGATGGTCGTCATAGCCCTCATATACATAGCACCGACATTCTTGAGACCAAAAGGCATCACCCGATAATGATATACTCCCCCAAGGCGTAATGAAAACAGTCTTTTCTGCATCATCTTCATCCATCAGGATCTGGTGATAACCCGCGTAACAATCTACAAATGACTGCATCTCATATTTGGCACAGTTATCAAAGAGAATATGAATGTTTGGCAATGTAAAGTTATCTTTCGGGTAAGCTTTGTTGAGATCTCTATAGTCAACACAAATTCTGATCTTTCCGTCTTTTTTTGGAAACCGGAACAATGTTGGCTAACCAAGTCGAATATTGCGTCGCTTCCACTACTTTGGACTCAATCTGCTTGGTAATCTCTTCTTTGATCTTCAAATTTAGCTCTGGCTTAAATTTACGAGTTTTCTACTTAACCGGACTTAAATCTGGATTGATCGGCAACTTATGAGACATCATGTTCGTACTTAGACCTGGCATATCCCTGTAAGTCCAGGAAAATACGTCAACGTGTTCTCTAAGAAAATGAACCAAGTCCCTTCATTGAGCTTCGGTCAGATGGACTCTGATTCTGACTTCTTTGACACATTCCTCATCTCTGAGATTTACAGTCTCAGTTTCCTCTAGGTTTGGCTTGTGTTGGTTCTCAAATTGTCGAAAGCCTTTAGCAACATGTTCGGGTACCTCATTTTCTTCTTCATATTCCTCGCATTCATCATCACCTACCTTATTTTGTTCGTTCGGCTCGTGATATGACATGACATTGACAGGTTTTAAATTACTATTACTGAAATCATAAACAAACGAAGTTAGAAAAGTAAAATATGAACAAATAAGTAAATAAACAAAATTTTCGATAAGAGAAACTTTTCATTTAAATTGCAAATGAGCTCAAACTTTGGCGATGAAGCAAGGTCATTTAGCCTTTTTAAAACATCACGGGGGAATTTAAAAAAAAACTCAAACAAGTAAAACTGCATAAAAGGTGGGTCTCGGGCCTCTTCCGGACTACCACAAATTTTTAAAACAAACATAAACATATGTCTTTTCTACTAAGATGAGTAGGGAATAAGAAGTGGTGTAGCGTTCCAATTTGGCAATAACTCGTCTAATTCAGCATCACGAATCCCCAACGTCCCGGCCTCTTCCTCGACGATTGCGTCTACCTCCTCAAAAAGGCCCCAGATTTCTTCCTCGAGACCACCATCATTGACATATTCTCGCACTGGGAATGATTGGTACAAATGAGGTATTGGCTTGGCCAACGCTCGATCAACACTCCTGTTCATCACCTCTGCTTCATCATCATCTGTGGGGACATACCCCAAACCAAACTTTGCTCTGGTGGCATTTACCAGCTTCACCATGAATGATCGATTCCTGGTCCTTGATAAAAATAAAAAATAAAAGTATGAAACAACAATAAAAAAAACATGATTATTATTTAACATAAAATAAATTACCATGATGACATGATTGTACTCTTTGTTGTTGTTGTACATCACCTGGTCTACATATGTGCATTGTTCTTCCGTTGTTCATTACAATTCTCGCAAAGAAGCTTCAAGAAAGACTGATTATCAGTCAATGAAAAAACAAGAACTAAAAATGAAATGTTGAACTTGAAAATCGTTTATACTTTGAAGAAGTATGACATATTCACACTATTTAGTAATCTTTTGGATTCAATGTCCCTGCGTTTTTCTGCTCCGTCGAGATTTTGAGTAAAAATTTCAACTTTATGTTTGGATGGAGAAAAATAAGGAAAGATGATAAAGGAAGAGATATTAGGGTGAGGTTATACCGTGTGAGAATGAAGATATATTTATATAGGCTGAGAGTAGCTTCAATGATAATTGACAAGTGTACTCCAGTACCCTTGTGAGTAATTATAATGTTTTCCCTCTTAGCTTGTAGAAAAGAGTGGAACCATTTCAATAGTAATATGTTTTAAATTCATTAATTACGTGGAGCACTCCCAATTTTTTCAGTAAAAATAGATCGCTCTGCCATCCTCAAATATGCCTTTGCCTCTGTGATTAATGACTTCATTTAGTGATCCTCTATTTTGCTTCTTCCTGTATCTTATTATTGTCTCATGGAATACCTTTTATTTCAGATACGATGTGAGAATATAAAGTCATACTTATATAAAGTCCTCTGTACATGACACTATGGATATTATCTTTGGGACGGTCTCGATCAGATCATAGGCAAAATTTTCAAGATGCATCAAAGTATTAGTAATGCCTAATTCTATTTCTCAAGTTGGTAGAACAATAATTTTGCTTGGGTCTTCATAAATAAGAATAATCGCATGCTGCATATACACCAAGTATATTGGCTCGTTTCAAGTTAGAAGGATTCATAATTGAGAAGGGCATTCACATTTTGTCACTTTCAAAATCGAACTCCCTCAAATTTGGAGTCAACAAGTTGACTTGCTTCAAATTCCTCCAATAGCACAAGGTGAATCTCTATCTCTTAATTTTGTCACTCACAATTTTTATTTTCTTCATTTCATAAAACTTGTTAGTTCTAATACTTCAAGGGCTGAAAACTGAAATAACTTAAATTCAAACTCCTGATAGGTCATGGTGGCTTCTTCTAACGTACATCTAACTTATATCATAAAAATATAATTCTTTTTAAGAGTACGGGTGTTTTCATGCCACGAGGCACAACTATAGATGTAAAGAAAAAGGTATGTAGTTGGACCATCTATTCTATCCGCTTTCTCTAGAGAAGTTGAGAGTATATGACTCAACATTTTTGAAAAACAATCAAAATGAAGGTTCGGGAGCATATAACTGGCACTTTTGCTATATTATAATGATTGTGCGTCTATCCGGGTTGGTTTTGCTATCGCTCCTATGTAGAAATCGTTAAAATTTAAATTACAAATATTTAACCTAAAATATAATTTGATATACAATATTATACATTATGTAAAAAATAATATACAAAATTTTCATATATTTTCTTACCAAAAATTTTAAAACTTGATACACTAAATCATACATCCAATATATATTATTAAACAAAGTTATAAGAGGTATTTATACGATAATATATAATAACATATTATTTTTATTTGACAAATCAAAATATTGTCAAACTTTACCGACTGGTTTTTCTCAAACTGCTAGACAAAATCTTCTGCAAATTTGTGGAGAGGTGGATTTAATGATGATCTATCATACCCAATAGATGATACATCATGAAT